AGAGGGAACGGCCTCAGGCTGGGCCAGGACAGACTCAGGGTGGAACCAGCAGGAATTTCCCCATGGAAAGGGGCTCAGGAACTGGAACTGCCCAGGGAGGGTTGGATCCCATCCCTGGAGTGCCCAGGGAGGGTCCGTGTCCCGCAGAGCTCGGGGGTGCTGCCAGGGTGGGGAAGGGATGCTGCCCGCACTCCTGGTTCCCTGGGGCTATCCCGCATCCTGCATCCCGTGGGATCCAGCGGGATGCTGTGGGATCCAGTGGGACACTCTGGGATCCCGTGGGATGCTGTGGGATCCAGCATAATGATGGGGGCTCCATTGGGATCCCGTGGGATTCCATGGGATCCAGTGTGACGCTGTGTGATACAGTGGGATGCTGGGGGTTCCCGTGGGATGCTGTGGGCTCCAGCGGGATGCTGTGGGATCCTGTGAGATCCCGTGGGATGCAGCGGGATCCAGTGGGACCCAGCTGGACCCTGTGGAATCCAGTGGGATCCAGCGGGACGCTGTGGGATCCAGTGGGATGCTGTGGAATCCAGTGGGATGCAGTGGAATCCCGTGATATCCCGTGGGATGCAGTGGGATCCCGTGATATCCCGTGGGATCCCGCGGAATCCCGGTTCCCCGGAGCGCAGCCCGCCCGCTCCGCTCTCCCCGCGGCGCGCCGCCCGCCAACCACAAACACAACGCGCCCGCCCGCGCAGGCGCGGCGGGACCCGGATGTGGCGCATGCGCGGCGGGACCCGGATGTGGCGCATGCGCGGCGGGACCCGGATGTGGCGCATGCGCGGCGGGACCCGGATGTGGTGCAGGCGCGGCGGAACCCGGATGTGGCGCATGCGCGGCGGAACCCGGATGTGGCGCATGCGCGGTGGCAGCGGCCCGGACGTGTCGGGACCAGCGGCGGCGGCGAAAGCGACCGGAGCGAGCGGGACACGGGCACGGGCACGGGCACGGGCACGGGCACGGGCACAGCACCGGCACCGCACCGGCACCGACACCTCGGCAGCGGCAGCGGCGCCGGGGCTGCCCCGAGCCGCCGCCGCCGCGCCCGGGCCGGAGGCCCCGGCCTGCCCGCGCCCCCTCGGCGGCCGCGCCCAGGTAAGGCCGGACCGGCCGGGCCCGCGCCCGGGACCCTTCCCCGAACCGCGGCACCGGCCCGGCTCCCCGCGGGACGGCCCCGGGGCCAGAGCCGGGACACCGCGCTGGGCCGCGGAAACACCGCCCGGCCCGGAACAAAGTTTGGGATGTGGGAAGGGAACGGGCGAGCAGACACAGCGAGCAGCGCAGAGCGGAGAGCGACCCAGGGATCCTGTGTCCACACTGACCAGGGATCCTGTGCCCAGAGTGACCCATGGATCCTGTGCCCACACTGACCAGGGATCCTGTGCCCAGAGT